AAATTTCCATATGATCTTAAGTATGTGCCTTAATTTCTCTAGGCCGGATTTCCCCCTTCCATTTAGCATAATCATTATAACATACTAACATATTTTAGCAAATATTATAGTCAAATATAATGCACTAGTAGATATAGCTGTACATTTAGTGAAATTACAGCTATTACTTGCTCAGTCACAAGCCTGACTTATTCCTTGTCTTTATACACAATCCTCATTCTTACCAACTACAAAGGAACCCTGTCCTATGGATGTTCACAAATGCATAAACATCTCTATTCATTAACTTCTTATAATAGCACACTGGAACTGGGATCCAAGGATAAATGAAAACTTCATCCTTGGGGTTTAGCAAGGATTTTATTTTGGTTATCAACTCAAGTGATTATGGGATGAGCAATGACACTACGTTGAAAGGAAAAAAGTACGACTGACCTAATGGAAGAGAGGAAGACCCTGAAAGTTCAACTAGTAAGATTTAATATGATTTCTATGTGTATTACAAGTAACAGGCAACAGACAGATGGGAGAAAATTAACTACTTGTTATTCCTGTGATGTTTTATATTTCCAGCCCCCATACAAACTTTATTATCCAATAGATCCTGATTATGAAGCAAACTGTCCAGATGTAGTAGCTTATGTTTGTGCTACAAATGGCTTCACCTACAAGAATGAGTGTTTCTTCTGTATCGATCGGTGGTAAGTTCAAAATAAAATACAGGTAGTATATTTTTTACTGTATAATTCATAGAAATTTCAAGTAACCTAAGCTAAGGACTTAGACTTTGCTGGCTATTGATTTTCTTTTTTTAATGTGTACAAGTATATTGTCTGCATGTATGTGAGTGCACCCGTGTTGTGCAATGCCATGGCGGTCAGAAGAGGGCTTCCGAGTCCCCTGGAACTAGAGTTAAGGATGGTTTGTAGCCGCCATGTGGGTGCTGAGAATCGAACCCAGGTCCTCTACAAGAGCAGTCAGTGCTCTTAACCACTGAGTCATCTCTCCAGCTCCGGTATATTGATTTTAAGAATCTAGTTTCTTGCTCATTAAAAATTAAAACTAAACTATTAAAAACTAACTTAGCAGGGGGAAAGCTCACATGAAACTTTCTGATAACTATACAGAAATCACCTTTGTAGGATATGACAGATTATATTCAAACAATGACTAGAAAGATGATTTTTGAAAATTCAAAATTTCTTTCACAAGTACTCAGACAAGTCTAGAAATAGTATCCATAAATGTCTTCTGGTAGCTATAGATAGATATAAACCAGAGCTGGAGACAAAAGACAATGATACAGACGAAGACCTATACGTACATATAAATACGACACATGAGCCCCAAAGTTGTTATGTGGTCTTACTTGAACAAAAATTGGCAGTCAACTCTTGCAAAGGACCTGGGTACTGAAAATTGAACCCAGGTCCTCAAGAGTAGTCAGTGCTCTTAATTGCTGAGTCATCTCTCCAGCCCTAAAACTGTTTTTACAAATTAGCTTTGTTATCTTGTTGGCAATTTTTTCCAGTTAGTAAGCTGTTAACGACTTGTGAGTTCTTCTGTGTTGGGAATCCTCAAAACTATTCTCAGATTTAATGGCTTATTAAGAGTCCTAAAACTCGGGAAAGCTTTTCTATTATTCTATTCTATTATCTATATTTATGAAAGGATATAAATTAAAATCAGCCAAGACAAAGCTAGAGTCCAAGAGCAATCAGATCAAGCCTCCAGCTACATTCCCAATTGAATCACACAGATGATTTATAATCCTACCAGCTATTACACGTGACAGGTACAAAATATCACTAATCAGGAAACTCTACCAATTCTGGATGTCAGGGGTTTTTTATTGGCGTTATATATAAGTATGGAACACTTGTATAGCTGACCTTATTTAAAGTCTCTAGCACCCATTTTCACAGGTCACATTGATGCAAAGTGGCCCAAGATTTAGGCAAATGGAAAAGGTATTCACTGTAAATGACATGGTTGATATAAATATCTAGCATGGCAAATACTAAGTATATAAAATGTTCTTATCAACCAGAATATGTCAAGGACTTATAGGTTATCTCCCAGGAGCTAATAAATACTCCAAGTCTGCTAAGCAGCTCCAGCCTGCATATGCAGTGGCCTCACAGAAAATGAGAATTCATGAGTATTACCAAATCACATAGAAATAATACAATTTAATTAGCTTTCCTCCTTTATTTAGTTACTATTACTTTCTCAGGAAGGTATTGATTAGACAAAAGACTTGGAAATGTCTCTTCAGCTGTTCCACAGAAGCTTTTTTACACACAAGACACAAGATGGTCTTGCTTATAAGGGCCTGTCCTGCAAGCAGCACAGACTGACGCCTAGATCTGCACAGCACAGGCCCTAGTCTGTCTGGCTATACAGTGACAGGTTTCCACAGAGCTTTCTGAGATTACTTTCCACCTCATAGGAAATTTGAAGCTATAACTTCACAAAATAGTCTCAGCAGTTCAAAGAGTAAGCCTCTTCCTGCTTGCTATTTCCATCAGTTCTGAACAGAATGTGAAGTTGTCAACACACTTCAGAGGTTTCATGTTGTTCACAGTGGTGGTTATCAGGTGATCATCTCTCAGGGAAGAGTAAAATTTGCCAAAGCTTGTCTCCAAAACACAGCCAAGAGCAGAGAACTCCTCTGGCAGAAGCCGAGAAGAGATGGGAGAAGCAATTTCCTCTATGCTGTCCTTCTTCCCTCTCTCCTTTCTGACTCCTTTGCTTACTTATAAGTCTAATGGATTTGTTTCACTGAATCTAGCCATTATTTCTTAGAAAACCTCGGTTGTTTAAAAGAACAAAACATTCGCCGGGCGTGGTGGTACATGCCTGTAGTCCCAGCACTTGGGAGGCAGAGGCAGGTAGATCTCTGTGAGTTCAAGGGCAGCCTGGTCTACATAGTGACTTCCAGGACAGCTGGGGCTACAGGAAGACCCTGCTTCAAAAAGACAAAAAAGTAAAATAAAATAAAAAAAAAATAAAACATCCATGACTTAGCAACTTTTCAGCTGATAGAAGCACAATTCATGTCAAATATTTAATTCTGAAATGTAGAAAATTGATGCCAATGAGGAACAATATTTTAATTGCTTTAAATATCCACAAATCCCTATATGTAAACTTAAACACTATTTAATTTCTATTCTGTATCTTGGGGAAATGGAAAAGTTTTAATGCTCTTTTAAATGGTGGAAGGAGGAAACATTTGCTTGATCTTGGCAGTGTTTCGGAGAAGAGCTTTCACAAATTGAACTCAGTTGTGAGAGACAACCACCACACTGTCTACTACTGTGAAAAACATACAATCTTTGAAAGAACAGGAAAAATACTGCAGAATGCCAGCATTGATGGAAAATCATAATTCCTATTTTTAAGAGTCTGTCAGGCTAAACTGTGCCTAGAAGGTAGTTGTTTGAAACAGACACAGAAGCTTCAGACAATTGCTATCTGAGCAACAAAAGAGAAATGTGCCCAGCAAAATGACTGTAGAAAGCAGCCTTAGTTTTGTGGAATCGGATACTATTTTATAAGTTTTGGAATAGTTAATAATATCTAAAATTAGATATCACATAAAAATATAGATTTCAAACATCCTAGTGATAGTAAATAAAGATTTCACATGCAATGAGAAGTAGTTGCCTGGTAGCACTAGGAATTCTGGGTGACTAAAGCCACACCTTTCTTCTGTGGTAAAGGTGGCTCGTATCACTTATATATATCCCCTACCTGACCAAGCATTTATGCTTGCAATGCCAGACCAGTTCAGCGGGATATTAAAACATATAAAGGGAGCTCAGTTACAGGTGTCCTAGCAGGGCGTCTCTTGAAGAAAAAGAAGGTTAAAGGATTTTAAAGAATGAAACAAACACACAGAAAAGAAAGAAATCATCAATCTATATAGTGATGCTTGGGAAGACAGACGAGACTGTGCATTGTCTTTAGGGTAATACAATGATCATGCTGAGGATTTTATGGCTTAGTAATATTAATACATAAGATAGGAAGTCATGTAGGGTCTGGATCCCATGAAGTATTAATACCAGAGCAAGGAGAATAGACATATGGGCAACATGAACATAGCAAAAGTTTGGAGCAGAGTGAACTATGGGTAGCATTATTGTTATG